GGACAGAGCTACGCATGAATTCATACTTCAAAAAAGATTCGCCATTTGTTAAGAGAAGATAGTTTTACTGAATATATTACGACAATAAACCGTTATGATAATTCAATATGGACGCCAATGAAAAACGCCAGAAAACCTACAACATTTAACTCACCGATAAGACAATCATCCAATATAGACGGATCTTGGGCCAGGAGCAATTAGGAAAAGGCAGATCTATTCGCAAAATAGCTTAGTACTGTATTTCAACCAAATAATGACATCCCTGTTCCAAACGTGGATAATATATCTGAAGATTTGGTAGACACTTTTGAAAGAATTAAACCAATAACACCAAAGGAAATCAAATCCGAAATACTGTCTTTAAAAAATAAAAAAGTACAGGTATCGACAAATTAAATCAAAATTTTTTAAGGAGTTGTCTAAAAAAGCTATTGTGCTGATAACATACATATTCAATGCGGCATTAAAAATTGGTCACTGGCCGAAAATCTTCAAATAATCTGAAATTATTATGATACCAAAACCAGGCAAGCAATGGCACATAGATAACTTCTGCAGACCAATTAGTCTACAACCCATACTATCAAAAATGCTAAAAAAACTATTACTAGCAAGAATAAGAGATAAGCTTACTGTCATACCACACTACCAATTCGGATTTAGGAGGAAGCATTTGACCATACAACAATGCCATAGGATGACAACGGCGATTCGCCAAGCATTCGAAGACAATAGATACTGCTCCACATTAAACAGGCTTTTGATAAAGCGTGGCACAATGATCTTTTATTTAAAATAAAAAATTGCCTGCCGGGAAGTTATTACATGTTAATAAAATCATATGTAACAAACAGATCTTTAGAGTGAAAGTAGGCAGCGCTGTATCGGAATTCTACTATATAAACGCAGGAGTGCCACAGGGAAGCGTAATGGGACCCCTGTTATTTACCATCTTCACACATGACATTCCAACTAATCCGAATGCAATTCTCTGAAAATTTGCAGACGACACCATAATCATGGCTACCCACGAGGACCCTATAATAGCATCGCTGAATCTACAAGAACACCTTTTCAAATTGGAACTCTGGATCAAAAAATGGAAAATTGATATCAACCAAAATAAATCGAAACACATGACATTTACTTCAAACAGTCAAAATTGTCCAGATGTATCTATGAACAGCATTAAAATCCCTACATGCAGTAGGTAATATAAAATACCTAGGAATGAAATTAGATCGCCGATTAACATGGAAACTACATTTTAAGGACAAGTGCAAAGAAATAAAAGCCAGAGTCAAACAATTAATTGGATGATAAGAAGAAGGTCGAAAATGTCGCTTGAGAACAAACTGTTAATTTATAAAGCTGTTATAATACCGATCTGGACTTATGGAATTTAGCTGTGGGGATGTGCAATCGCATCGAATACTAAAATGGTACAAAGAACACAAAATATAATTTTAAGATCTATTGTAAATGCCCCATGGTATATGAACAATCAAATAATCCATAATGATCTAAAAATAGAAACGGTATGCGAAACAATAAAAAAGTTTAGCAATAGATATCATACAAAGTTGCTCAACATACTAACCCAAGCATCCAACACATCGCACGAATTATAGGGTAGGGCGGGGCTAGTTGAGCAAATTTTTACTTAAACGGATGTAGCTCCTCAATGAAAAGTCTCAATAGATTGCTATATTGGATTTACGGCTTATTGGATTTGTTGTTTATCGCATAACAAAAGTGTTAATACTTGTTTTTGGTAATAAGTAAAATTTAAAAGCTACAGCTGTTTGAATGCAAAAAGTCAAGTATGCTCAATGTACCCCATAGGTAGGGCAAGTTGGGCACTAAGAAAGTATAATGAAATTATAGGGTCAATGTCGATTAGTGATGAAATAAAATAAGTTTTTAATAACCAGTTCTATATTTATAGTCTTTATTGACAGAGGAAACAAAACTTATATTAATTTGCTTTGAATAATTAACGATTAATTATCTTAGGAATTATTTTACCATTATATTCAGTATTTTTGTTTAAAATCATTATTTCTTTATATCATTGCTCATAGACTTAGCTTAAATCTTAAAAATAATAATTAATTTTTGGAAGTTAATGGTAATTGTCTTAGTGACAGAACAAGTTTAGCAACTATGCTCAACTAGCCCCAACTCGGAATTTCAAAATAAAAGTGAGTTTATAAAAAAACCGTGATAATTATACCCAGAATCTCTGTGCATATTAAAAGTACTATAATTATATGGAGGAATAAAATTTACCTGCTTAAAAATAAATAACATTTGACTAAACTAGACGAAAATTCGTGATGAATGACTTTTTTACTTTTTGGTCTCAAAATAAACAAAACGGCCGTGAGCCTCACTCATTTGTCCAGTGGCCACTAGCGATCGCGGGATGTTTATTTCTCCCAAACCTCTATCTTTCCGCCATATAATGCCTAAACGGACGGTGAATAGTTTTCGAGATATTTCGATTGCTCAACTTGCCCCTATGCTCAACTAGCCCCGCCCTACCCTACCGATCAGAAGACTTAAAAAAAAGTGGCCAGAAGACCTCAAATCAAGTTAAATTAAGTCTATCAAAACCAATGGTGACCCTACTACATATACAAAGTGTGCAAGAAAGCTGTCGAGAACAGCGCTTGATCAGATAACAAGATAATTTCAATGGAAATTATCTTAACCATGCTACTTAAGTTATCAATTTAGCTTATAGAAATATGTACTTTTCTGATTGCTTAAAATAATGTATCAAAAAAAAATTGGTATTGCATTATCTCCATTTCACGCGTTATGCACTATTAAACAATTGGCTAAAGACGATAGCAAACTAGTGGGGCGCATGGCATCGTGCCTTAAGGCAAATTGCTGGAACTTTCAGTATCAAGATTCCGTACCAGATTTTTGAAAAACTATAAATTGTTAGACAATAATTTACTTTTTTTGAAAAATAAAACGTAATAAAAATAAAAGAAAAATTTATTTTGAAATATTTTGGAAATTCTGAACCTTTTTTCCAAGCAATCGTACTGCTTTAACTGCATAGAGACGAAATATTGAAGCTCGCAAGCGCCGCGTCGCCGTCTAACGGATAAACATTGGTACGGAACCCATAGGAATGTAAACAAAATTTATACTTATTGTTAAAATCTCTATAAAATATCTGATAATTTGATGTGCATATGTCTAATGATCATTTTTCACCGCCAAATGGCATTTTTTTTTACTTTTTTCATTATATCTCCGAAACCGCTAGACTTGCCTTCATGAAAATTTGGTCAGTTCTTCATCTTCTTAATACAAGTAAAATGTTTTACTTGAGTTATTCAAATCGGACGCTTCGTTCTCTTAAAAACTGAGTTACCGGTTTTGGCACTTTTTGCCCCATATCTTCGGAACGGCTAGACCTGCCTTTGCCAAAAACTAATCAGCATGTCTCCTTAGCAATACGAATCGAATGTTTTTTGAATTATTCAAATCGCTTCATTCGTGTTCCCGAAATCGTCGATGAAAATTTGTATCCGCACACACACACACACACACATACATCAATTTTTGTTAAGGTGTGCCAAAATATTCAGGAACATCTGAAACGTAAAGATATATAAAAATTTCCTTTTCGATTTTTTTGCGATTACTATAACTTGCCATACGTGAAGTTAAAAATATCGTTTTGCCACTAATAAAATTCAGAATGGTATTTTTAACAACGACGTCCGTTAAAGTACCGAGTATAGTAAAGTAATGGAATGCAATTCAGGTTTGTTTTAAATTTAATATTAAACATTTTTCATTAAATGCACAAAACGTCATATATTAATCCCGTACGTACATATTTAGGATCCTCTAGGTTTTATTACGCCGGTTTACTATCAAATTCAAAATGATCATGAAGGGATTATGATTATGGTTATTAAAAATGGATTGGGATGAGGCATTACCTTCATCATTAATTGTAATATGGTAATTGCTAAGCATTTACAATCAACTTCCAGTTTTTTTTTAAATTAATTAAAAAGGGTATGTTATTGTAATCGTCCAAAAATCGAAATTGAAATTTGTTGCATATCTTTATGTTTTAAAGGTTTCTAAACATTTTAGCATACCTTAGAAAAAATGGATGTTGTGTGGGTATATGTGTTTTGTGTGTCTACAATTTTTCGTTCACGTTTTCGAGCGCACGGATCAACCAATTTAAATGGTTCAAAAAATATTCGATTCATATTGATAGGGAGATGTGCTAATTAATTTTTGAGAAAGATCAACCATCCGTTTCCGAGCTACGAAGCAAAGAGTGCAAAAAATATAAATCGAACTTTTGAGAGAACAGAGCATCCGATTTGAATGATTCAAAAAACATTCAATTTGTAATGATAAGAAAATGTGGTGATTAGTTGTGAAGTGTAAAAAATGACAGTTTTTTAACCAGAAAGCACAGAAGTTCTTCACCGACGACATCATGACTCTACTCAAAACATGACGAAATATTGTCGATATTAATGCAGCAAATTTAGTTTGAATAAATTTATTTCCACTCTATAAAAATATGTATATATATATATATATATATATATATATATTGTTGGTAATTACAAAACTATAATGCTATGGAATGTACTTTTATTGATGCTTAATATACAAGATCTTAATGACAAACGCTAATTACTTTATTTAAACTGTTTACTGATATGTTTATACAATTGGTGCACTAGAATGATCAGTGAGTTTATGCATTTTTTACGTCAAATGATAACTCTAGTAATATTAAGATAAATTAAAAATGTAAGCAACTCGAAGATTTATGTAGTGGTTTGGTCAATTTTCTTAAATAGCAACCAAAGCGACACTTGTATTATAAAGTATATGAATAAATACGCTTATAAATATACTTATATATGCATTGGTAAATTTTCATTTACATATGATTACATGTCGACAGTTAGATATCTTTTCCAGCCATTGCATCAGTATTGCAGCTGCTGCAGTATAAAATGGGAGCTTGAAATTATAGTTAGAATTGCCATCATTTGAGCACTAATTCTTATTGATCCTGAAAAAGAATGATATATTACTTTTTGGCAATTAAATTTGTTGCAAATAAAAATATATCATATTTTGATTTGATTGGAAGACTGGCAAATTCATCGCAGCATCGGCGAGATTTACAACTATAAAAATTGTTTAGTGTTATTCAAGTAGGGTATACTGGGTACAGATTGTACCGTTATGCAAAAGGTACAGATTGTACCGTTATGCAAAAGTACAGTAGTGGCAGCTAATACTAATCGTCATAACAGCTAAACTATACTAATTTTGAGATAAGGTACAATGAGAGAAAAAGGCTGTTTGTTTGAACACGTTTACATTATTGCATTCAGCTCTGCATTAACATGGTGTAGACCGCATTGCTTATAAAGTGTCAAAAGAAAGTTTTTTTTCACTGTGAGCTGAACAGTATTAGTTAATTACCAGCAACTACTTTTGGCGTAGATATTCTATCATCCATAACGATGACTTGCCTTGAAAAGTGTGCCTTAGGTATAGTTGTGGCAATTATGCAAAATGCACTTATAGATAGTTTTTAATACAAAATTATTGACTACTCACCGCTGCATTCGTGATCTAATTCCATGTAACCTTCAGCTTCATTACACATGCACATTTTTCCGCCTCCAGAGTTATCATTTCTGCTAGAACCGAAAGTGTTACTAGAAGGTGAAGATGTATTTTTTGTCGAACAAATCATATCTTCCATGCATTCCGAATTATCACTGCAGGCGTGTCGTAAACCTAAATTAACATTAACATGTTTTATTTAATTTCTACTCGAATTTTATAGCAAAATTAAGTATAAGTGTTGGAGATAAGTAATGTAGACTTCTACGAGATTTGCGTATAAATATTTGGTTGGAGTTTCTTAATAAAAGCAAAAATTTTCCACAAAGTAAAAAAAAGTAAAATTATAAGTAATATTTATTCACTGCGTGACAAAAATAGCACTTTTGTTTTTTCTTAGAATTTTTTCCAAATCTACTTAGAATTCTACGCTGATTTAAAATATAGCTTTCGCTTTTCCTTAACAGCTCCTGGTTTTGAATTTTAGGGAACTACACTGATTAGTCATTTTGGCTATGATCATTGCAGTTTAACGGTTAAGTAAGAGCTTTTTTGATTAAGTTTACTTATATAAATCGGTTCTTCATACTATGTGCCAAAACTGTGTATTGTGTTTATGTTAATATCCAATAAAAAGTAGTGCTATAGTTTTAATACATTTGTCACTTGGAAAAAACCTCAAAATCATCAAAAGTGCGGTAAATATCAAGGGAATAATTTTAGGCAATAAAAGCAAATGGTCATACCACACGACCCCTATGGTCTTGGCGTCTACTAAGCAATAAGGATAGCTTCACAACATGCTAATGATGAACATCCTAGAAAATCGGCATCTTTTGCTTACCGTGTAATGGATTAAGTGACCAACGTTAAAAGAGAAGTCAGGGAATATTGAACTGATATATTCGATGATCCCGTATATAGGACACTCATAGAAAATCTATTTTTCGCGAAGAGTGAAGATTCGAGAAGAAAACTAGGGTCGTTGGTTTTGATAGTAGCAGAAGTTTTTGAAAATAAAAAAGTCAGAAACTTTATTGAGCTTGTCGAATGCATGCAATTCAGTTTCAAAGATTTAGGATGTTACATCAAAATTTATTACCCCCATCTTCATTCAGAATGGTTATTAGAAAACTTGGTGATGTTAGCTAAGAGCAGAGCGGGAAAATCCACCAAAACATCAGGACTATAAAGGAAGTATATCAAAGGAGATGCTACAACCATTTAATGGTTGAAAATTATTAGAGACATGTCTTCTCTTTAAATTTATATAAACAAATCTTTGAAGACAAAATGAAATTGGTCTTAAATTTTATTGTAATTTGAGGTAAAACTAGCACATTGGTATATCTAAATCAACGCCCTCGGATTACTCTAAAACTATCATAGCCGAATTAATAACATGTCAGGAAAAAAATTACTGTCAAAATTACAACTAAATTTATACTTTTTTGTCTTTTTGATAAACTGATTTACTACTTAGGTTTTGATAAGACAAATACGGTCCTGAATATGGATGTACCTTTTAATTTAGATGAGCAGGCGCCGTTGACAGGGGCTGTGTTGTCTCCACATAGGCATTTTGTCTTGTCATCTCCGCGGTCACGTACGCAGCTGGTGCCTTCTATGCCTGCACAATCAGCTCCTGACCGGCAATCACGTGCTTTCACTGCAAAGAAATTGACACACGCTATAAATCTATCAATATATTACTTTTTACAAAGTGAAGGCAATGAAAAATAATCCATGCAAAAATGTAAATTTGCCTAAAGGTTGCTGAAACGGTCTATCAAGCCTTACCGCCATACATATTTCAGATCTCTTTTGAACGTTTTCTTTGATAGAATTTAGAATCAAAATATTTCATTACATTTCTAGATTTTTACTATGTTTGTTTGAAAGTTGAATAATTAAAAAAAACTTTAACATTTTTTGAGATTTTGTATCATTTATATTTTATTATATTATAAAGCAGTGCCAATAAAAACGTGCAGCCCTAAATTTTTACTTTTTTATTATCTTATTTAAGCCATTTTTATCAAGCTTCATAAGTGATCAAATAACACATGTTTGGAAAATGTTTTTTAGTTTATTTCCATTACAACTCTAAGATTTTGGCAAAGCGCAAATATTTGTGTTAACAAAATATATTTTTTATAATATCAAGAGAGTAGCATTTAGTGTTAAAATTATCTACTTTGCCTTTATTTATCTTTATCTACACTTATTTTCCAGTCTGATATATTGGTTTATTTTTAAGCGGGAAAAATATTTTGGAATTCAACTGGGTCAAAATTCTTGTGTTCAATATAGGGTAAACTATAACAAGACATTCGATTCCAAAACAGCTCCAAATACTCTTATGAATCATCAACTTGTTATGCTTTTGGTCAAATGTGAGTTTGCGCTCACAGCACAGAAGTTTTTCCTATTCAAATATTTGTAAACGATATGTTCAACAGGTTTTTTACTCAAGCAATTTTACTTATTGGTTTCGGTAAACTTTTTTGATATTTTCCGGTGTAACCACCTCAATTTGCCTTCCAGAGGTTCACCATTTTCAGTGTCTGTACGGCCACGATTAAAATCAGCAAACCACTTCCTCACAATTTACCTCAATTTGGCACAGTCCAAGTAACACGTCTCA